TGAAAGAATTGAAGAGGCATTGTTTCTAAATCTATTCCAAGAAATAACTGAATTGGATGAATTTGATGAAAGTTTTGATGAAAACAAATTAGAATATTTCGAAGATAGGAATGAAAACTTAAAATTTTTTTTGGTTTCACTATTAAATTTTCGTTACCTTGAACCAAGGATTCACACTAAGGATACTGGCTGCAACTTTTGATGATGGTTGCTACCACCTTTACGACCATTTTGTTTCCTTTTTTGGATTGCAACATGGAACACTAATTCACACTAATCAAATTTCTTTAGACAAGTTTCATAATGTTTATCTTCAGTATAATGAAGAAAGATTTAAAAATTTTTTTCAGATGTCCAAATCTAATTTTAATATATTAGTAGATATTTTAAAGATTAATCCAATATTTCATACAAATGCCTTTATTAAACAAATAGATGTTAATTTTCAAGTATCTGTGTTTCTTAGAAGACTAGCCATTAAAGGAGATATTTTTACCACATCTAGTTTGTTTGGAATCTCAGAAGGAACTGTTATTCTATATACAAATCGTATAATAAAGGCTATTTTAGAGACAAAAAATAATTATGTCAAATGGCCAGTTGAACAATATAGACATGAGATATTAGGTGGGTTTCAACAAATTGGTGGGTTTCCAAATGTAATAGGAGCAATTGATGGAACACACATCAATTTAACAAATGCTCCTTCTAAAGACCCAGAAGTTTTTTTTAATCGTAAAAAAAGATACTCAATACAATGCCAGGCTATAGTTGACTATAGAGGAATATTCACCAATTATTTAATTGGCTGGCCAGGCAGTGTTCATGATGCTAGGGTGTATTCCAATTCTGAGTTCTATATAAATAGGAGAGACTTTATTAAAGATGATGATATTGTTTTAGGAGATTCTGCATACCCAATTTCCCCTTTTATGATTTACACCTTTTAAAGTTTCTCAAACCTCTACACAAATTCAATTTAATCAACTTCACTCTAAACATAGAATAGTTGTAGAGCATGCATTTGGCAGACTTAAATCTAGATTTGTTGCACTAAGAGAATTAAATGTTAAAAGTATCAAAATGGCTGTTAGATTGACAGAATGTGCTATAATCTTGCATAATTTTTTAGAGTTAAATGGGGAAATTTGGGATGAAGGAGCAGATGTGAATGATTATAATGACAATGATGCAAACTTGGTCATGGAATGTGAAAGTGAATTGGGGTTGAAAAGAGCAGGAGAAGAAAAAAGAAATCAATTAATTAATTTTCTAAGAATTTAATGAATTATACTATATATATATATATATATATATATATACAGTGTGTAACAAAAAAAACTGGATATTTTTATTTTGCCATTGCTCCTCAATGAGTCAGTCAATTTTTATAAAAAATGGGTCATTTGTAAGATAAAAACAACCAAATTTATTGATAATAATTAATAAGAAATCCGTTCTCCATTTCTCTCAATAATGAGCTCACAACGTCGTCTCATTGATTCTATTAAATTAATTAACATGCTTTCCGGAGTTCTATTCCACTCCTCCATCATAAATCTCTCTAGTTCACCAAGATTTTTTGGCATACGCCTCTCTACATTATTCTTAACAATTCCCCAAAGGTTTTCAATTGGATTTAAATCGGGACTATTTGATGGCCAGTCCATAACCGCCGGAATGTTTTCTTTCAGAAACTCCGTAGCAAGACGACTCGTGTGTTTTGGATCATTGTCTTGCTGGAGTCTCCATCTACCTCCAAGCATCCTATTTACTTCCGGCATATGTTTCTAGAGGATTTCTACATAAAATTTGGCATCCATTATCCTCCTGAAGCAAAATAAACTTGTTTTTCCGACTACGCAAAATCCGCCCCATGCAAAAACTTTTGTGTGATCTTTGGGCATGGGACGAATTGGCCGCTCACCTTTGTACCAACGTTCGATGGTGTTTCGGTAAAGTTGAAACGCGGTTTCATCAGAAAATAATGTCTTCCTCCAATTGTCATTAAGGTGCTGACGTGCCCACTCAACACGCCTTTGCTTATGGGCTTCGGTTAACATAGGTGTTTGTTTAGGCAATGCTTTCGAGTACCCATAAGTGGTCAGGTGCCTCGAAATTGTCATATGTGACACGTCAACACCTGTATTCGACACTTTTCGAGCTAAGGTCCATGTGGAAATTGAGTCATTTCTCCGTATTGATTGTCCAATCATCTTGGAGGTATTCCCAGTTATTTTCCTGGGCCGACCATTTCCTCATATGTGCTCCACCGTCCCTTTTTCTTCTATTTTTTTTAATGTTATCATAAATAGTAGACAATGGGATGTTTGTTCGGCAATGAATTTCTTGGCCATTGTGAATGCCTTCATTCCACAATTGTAATATGCATTGACGTTGTGTTTCTTGTTTAGAAGCGGGCATTGTGTTTGTACATAAAGCAAAAAGTACACTAAGGTTCAGGGTTATAAACAACGCTCAAATTTACTCCTGATTATCATGTTTATTTTCCATTTTATATCTCTCAAATTGGACAGAAAACAAACACGTGAGACGCGTTTAAATTGCATAAAAAAATATCTGGTTTTTTTTGTTACACACTGTATATATAAATCTAATAAAAATTTAAAGTAATAATTTTTTTGATTCTAATTCTAATTTTTTTTTTTAAATTTTCAGGATTTAATCTTTCCACCTCCAATTTTTCTCTTTGAATTTCTAATTCTAATTTTCTTAATTCCATCTCTTTATCAATTTTGTACTTTTCCAATTGTATTTTGGAATCAATTTCCTTCTCTTGCAATTCAATTTTTTTAACAAGGAAGTTATCTTTAGATTGATTCATCGAAACCATTAAATCTGAAAGAGCTTCATAATTATTATTTTTTCTTTTTTTATTTTTCAATTCATCTTTTTTTTTTGGAAGGGATTATTTCCTCAACTTCTTCATTATCTGTATATGTATCATTAGTGGACAATGCCAAATATGTAGGACTTACATTCTCTCTTGTACCAAATATTTTGTCTAATTTGTCAAACCATTTCCATTTAGTTGGTGCTGATCCAGTCTTATTAGTTGATTTTTTTTCTTTTAAATATGAATTACGTAATTTATTCAACTTATTTTTTATTTGCTCATTATTTTTACCAGCCAATAAATTTTTATCAATCAAAGCTTGATAAAATTTGTTTTTATTACCAGAGGACCAATTCTTATAATTTTCATCCAGATAGGCAATTAAAATTTCTACTTCTCTGTCACTCCATTGACTATCTTTATTTTCTTTATTTTTTAAACAAATATTTTTATGTTCAAAAACATGCTGTTGCTGGTGTTGATTTGGAAATTGATTTAATTGAAGAAAGGGTGCAGGATAAATATTTTGTTGTTCATCAGTACTAGGAATAACAATTGGAGCTGAATAACTACTTTGTTGTTGATGATGATATTTGTTAGTATTAGGGAAAACAACCTTTGGAATTTGGTAAATATTTTGTTCTTCTTGCTGATGATAATGTTCATCAGCATTTGTGAAAATCACTTCTGGAGCTGAATAAATATTTTTTTGATGGTAATATTGATGTTTATCAGTATTAGATGAAGGATAAATATTTTGATGACATTGTTGATGTTGATATTGATATTGATGTAAATTATTAGTAGAAGCTGTTTTTCGAACCAGATAAACAGTTTGTTGTTGTTGTTCATTGTTATTAGTGGTAGAAGTTGCCTTTTGAAATGGATAAATGCTTTGTTGTTGTTGCACGTCATTATTCTCAGTAGAAGAAGTTTCCTTTTGAACTGGATTAATGCTTTGTTGTTGTTGTTGTTGTTGTTGTTGTTCGTCATTATTAACAGATGCTACTTTTTGAACTGGATAAATGTTTTGTTGTTGCACATCATTATTATTAGTAGAAGTTACCTGAACCGGATAAATGCTTTGTTGTTGTTGCATGTCATTAGTAGAAGCTACTCTTTGAACTGGACGAGGCTGTTGTACATTATTATTAGTAGAAGCTATTTTATGATATTCTCGTTTTCTTGTTTTCATTTTTTTATTTTTTTTTTTTTTATTTTTTTTTTTTAAAATCGTTTCCAAATTTGGAAGTGGAAACAAGGAGAAACAACAAATTTGTTGTTTCACTGTTCCGTTTCCTGTTCCTTCTGATCAGCCAATAAAATTTAATTTTGACCGTGTAACAAGGAACAGGAAACAGGAACGGAACAACTTTGAACACCCCTATTATAACAAATAATATTTATTTAAAATTATTTGTTTTTAATGAGATTATAAAGTTTATTATAAAATGTTAATAAAAAAATATAGCGCATAATTTGCATAATCTACCAAGTGTTGCATGCATAATTTGATGTTTGTTGCCGCATAAATCTGGGGTCTCTAAATCTGATGTTGATGACAATGATGATTTAGTTCAAGTTGTCCATGAGTCAACTAGATCTATGTATAATCTGGCACAACCTGTTTATGATAATAATGAAAAGAAAGTTAATTTCTATCAATGGAATAACTTTCTCTCAAAATATTTAAAAAGCTTCCTAATATATCAAAAATGCATCATTTTACTTTTGAGAAAGAACATCTAGGTTGGGTGAAATATAAAAAACAACATGATGAACCTGATAATTATAGCTGTCTTTTAAAAAATCATGACTTTAGATTTGATTCTATAATTTTAGAGGATGAATTGGAAACAAAGGAGCCAATAGGATTAACCCCAACTAGACAGTGGTATTTGTATGATGAAATACGAGACTTTGTGCAAAATCCTATTAAAAAAGATATCGTTTGTCCAGAACCCACTGTAGCTAGACCATGATTTTTTTAGAAATTTTATCTTTATTGTTATTTATTAATTTGTCATATATTTTATATATTTATTTATTTTATATATTTTATTGTTTTAAAAATCAACTATTTTTTTTAATTTTCTGGGACAAGATCATCACCAATTTTCTATTTTAGAATTTTCTGGGTAGTGTTCCATGTCACAATCCAAAAAAGGAAACAAAATGGTTGTAAAGGTGGTTGCAACCAGTGGTTGCAATTGTTTTTATATGACGCAAAGATGGTAGCAACCATCATCAAAAGTTGCAGCCGGTATCCTTATTTCTGGGACAAGATCATCATCAATTTTCTATTTTAGGATTTTCTGGGACACAATTTACTTTTATGGAAATTTCATAATAAAAAACTTAATACCCCTTTTTCTCAAAAAACATATTTTATAAAAATTCAGCCTTTTTTGCTGTCCATGCCCCAAATATGGACAATGACTAGATACATAGACTGTTTTCATATTAGGAAGTAATACCCTTAAAGAAAATTTTATATGTAGTGAAAATTTTCAAAGAAAATTAGTATATTTTGTGTTACATCTATTTTGGAACCGGTTCCATGGAACCAGAACCAAACCGAACCACCCCATCCCTAATTTTTTCCTTTTTCTACAATACATTCATTGTTTGATTTTTTTACAAGAGTGCATTTATCATCAATCCTTTTCTTTTTTACAATATATTTATTGATCTTTTTTTGCAAGAATAAATTTGTTGTATGGTGTGCGAAGTCTATAACCACCATTTACTGTGCCACACTGCCAAATTTCACCAAAATAGTGTTCCTAACCAAAAATCAAATTCTTTGCGAATATTTGAAAATCAAATTCTTTGCGAATATTTGAAAATCAAATTCTTTGCGAATATTTGAAAATCAAATTATTCAAGGATATTCAAATATATATAATTTATTTCATAATCATTATGGATACTTGTAATTATTATGGATACTTGTAATTATTATGGATACTTGTAATTATTATGGATACTTGTAATTATTTTGGATACTTGTAATTATTTTGGATACTTGTAATAATTTTGGATACTCATAATTATTATGGATACTTGTAATTATTTTGGATACTTGTAATAATTTTGGATACTCATAATTATTATGGATACTTGTAATTATTTTTGGATACTTACAAATGATTATCAATTGATAACAAATAGTACTAACTTTATTTATATTATCTAATAAAAATTTTTTAAAGATAATAAAAAAATAACTTATATTGCTACAACAATTTAAATATTTTCAGAAACATTTTCATTTACTCTTATAGAAAATGTTTTCATTTACTCTCTCATAGAAAACATTTTCTTTCTCATAGAAATGTTTCATTTATAAAATAATTCTTTCTCATTCTTGAGTTTCTCAACTTTCAAATATGAATGGTTCAATTGATTTAACATTAGAAGATGAGCCAACTCAAGTTTATGAAGAATATTAAGGATATTCAACAACCGATTCTGAAATTTATTTGATCTTTTTTACAAGAATACATTTGTTGTATTCTTATTTGATCTTTTTTGTTTTCCTTTATAAGATGTCTGAAACTGCTCATTCGCCATATTTTATTTTATATCTTCTATCCAACAAATATTAAATTGTTTCTTTATAATACTCTTTAAAGGTTTCAAATGGTAATGATAATTAATTAAATAAAATAATTGACTATTATTAACTAACAGTTATTACTTTCTTTGAAGTGAATGGTTAGTTTATTTTAAAAACATCAGATTGTTTTTCAGAATATAAATAAAGCTTAAAAATTCATATACAAAATTAAAAAAAATTCATATGCAAAATTAAATTTTTTAAAAAATTATACATGAAATTAAAGCAGATTCTTTTTCTAATAATAATACCTACCGTATCTAACCATTTAATTTTTGCATTCACACTTCTCTCATTAAAATATTTGTTCTTTTATTGCTTTTATATAAAATGCCTCCAAAAAGTAGAGTAACTTTATCTGATTCTCAAAAAGCATGAATTTTGTTTATTTGCTAACAATAGCAAATTAACTAGAAGGAAATATGCTAATTGGATTGAACAAAAATAGGGAGTTAGAGTAGATGAAACAACCATAACAAGAATTCTGAAAAAAAGAAGAAATACTTAATACTGAAGTTACTAATCCAGATGCCAAAAGACATAAAAATGTAACAGTCCCTGAACTTGAACTAGCCCTCAAAGAATTTATTTTAATCTACCAAAACAGATCCATCTTAAGTGAAGCTATTTTAATCGAAAAAGTCAAGCAAATAGCAAGTGGATTGGGAGTTCCAGAAGGAACGTTGTCATTTTCTCCTGGATGGCTCTATAAATTCAAAAGATGTAATGGAATTAAAGAAAGAAAGCTTCATGGAGAGGAATCATCAGCTGATCTAAATGCAATAACTGAAACCTTACAATTGTTAAAAGATAAATGTGCAAGCTATCCACCTGAAAGAATATACAACATGGATGAAACAGGTCTTTTTTATAGATTAGAACCAGATCAAACATTAGCTACACAAAGACTTTCTGGACATAAAAAAATAAAGAAAGAATTTCAATTTCTTTGTGTGCTAACTCTGATGGATCACACAAATTAAATCCATTAATAATTGGAAAGTATAAAAAACCATGATGCTTTAATAATGTTAACATAAATAACTTACAAATGACATATCATAGTAATTCTAAGGCTTGGATGTTAACAACCATTTTCCAAGACTGGCTTCAGGAATTTGACAAAGAGGTTGCTAAGAAACATAGAAATCCACATGCCTTGCTACTTCTTGATAATTGTCCAAGTCATAAGATTGATGGTTTAGTTCTTCAAATGTTGGGATTCATTTCCTCCCTCCAAATACCACATCAAAAATCCAGCCAATGGATGCTGGAATTATTATGTCTTTCAAAAGACATTATTGACATTTACATATCAACTGGATTCTAAGTCAAGTTGAAAAAGGAAAAAATATAAAAGACTTAAAAATGGGTGTATTTGCAGGCAATACATTATATTATTAAAGGGTGGAGTGAAGTCACACCTGAAACCATCCATAACTGCTGGAATCACACCAAAATTCTTCCTGACAGAACCAATATTAATTTAACTAACCTCTCTGATAACAATTCAACAATAAATCAGGCTGTTGTTACTCTTAACCTAAATGATCCAATGCCTGTTGAGGAATTCTTGAATAATCCAGAAGAAGAAATTGTATATGAAATTCCTGAGGATGATAAAATTGTTGAAATAATTGTGGAAATGTATAAGCAGCAGACAGAAGTAGGAAGCAATAATGATGAAGGAGATGAAGAAGATGATGGTGTTGAACAAGTATTAATAAGTACTAGTGAAGCTTCAAAAAGTTTGGAAATTGTCCATGCATTTTTATTACAAGAAAATGCTAATGAACAAGTAAAATTAGTTAATTCTCTTGAAAAATTTATTAATTTAAAAAAAATAAATACAATGAAACAAACTACAATAGATAGATTCATGTCTTGAAAATTATCTTTCTTTCTTCTAACAATAAATGGGGCATACTGTAACAAAACCAGACAAAGTGAACATTGGTATTACCAGAATTACAGGGATCCATATTGTTTGTTTCAGGGTTGGCAAATGACCAGGTCCATTGTGACCAATGGATTTTGGACTAGGTCCATTGGATCTATTGCTGGTCCATCAATTTCTGGTCTATCAATGGTCCATTTATTTCATTGGCTATCCAGGGGTGTGATGCAATAGACCATCAATGGATCAATGGACTTCCTGATCCATTGATGGTCTATTGAAAATTTCCTAATATGGATATATTATTACACAAATAGATCACAAAATGACCAATCCATTGGTCCATTGGTGGTCCATTGGTCCATTGATTTATTTTTTTTTATTTTTTATTAAATCAAATATTTTTATTTTTTATTAAATCAAATATTTTTATTTTTTATTGAATCAAATATTTTTATTTTTTATTAAATCAAATATTTTTATTTTAATCTTTATTTACAAAAAATTTACAAAAAATTAATCATTATATATTATAGGCAATATATCAAATATGAAATCTGGTGCGTCGAGACCAGCAGGAAACAAATCTGTCAAAGTCCACTTGGCCCTTTTATTTTCTGCTGGGTGTGATTCATCTAATGGAGCATGTTGTTCCATTTCATCATCAATATTTTCATTGGAAGTCATGCTAATCCATTCATCTACTAACATCTGCCATTCTTCTGTAGAATTAATAAATCCTTCATCACCATCACCATCACCATCATCATTATCCCCATCAATATTTATTATTTCCTTTTCCAGTTCTTCTAATTTTAAATTTAATTAATTGATAAATATAGGTTATATTATATAGACTTAAAGTATTCATTATAAATTTACCTAAATCTTGATAAGTTTCTTCTGGGTTTGAATTATGATCATTTGTTTCTGTCACAAAGTCATTTAAATCTTCAGTTTGAAGTTTGTTAACAGTTGATTGCATTTTTAAATTAATTATATCACCATGGATCTGGCTTATTTTCAATACCTTTTCATACTATTAAAAAATATATATATATATATTAAAAAAAATTTGGATTGAATAATCTTAAATGATTTTTTTTTTTGACTTACATGAAGACGGTTTCAAAGAGGTGTGTGTATTAACTTCATTTTTGAAAATAATCTCTCCACTGGAGCAGAGTTGACACACATACCAAAAATATGACATGCTAACTTTGCAAGTTCATTATTATCTCTTGACAAGGAACCCCAGTATAATAATAAATCACCTTTATATTGATTAAAAATTTCACTAGAATAAGGAAATTTCATTTGATTATATCTTTCAAATTCGAAAAGGATTGATGTAGGTTTTTCGTTAATCCATGAATCATAATAATAAAGAAGCCATGATTTTAAAGAAAATGACAATCTTGGTATAATATTTGAGTCAAATTTTTCTGCCCTATAACTTGGATGAAGCCAAAAAGAAAGAATAAGTATAGGTTGCTCCCAAATACTCCAGCACCTTTCTAACCTAGTTAACATTTTTTGTCCAAATATCTGATCTGGGTAGCTCTTATATAACTTAACAAGGTATCCAAAAGAGTGGAAAACTTCAAAAAGTCTAGCATTATTAGATTGAAGCTTATCTAATGCATTACATAATGGAACCAGAAGATTTCGAAGAGTTTTAATATATCCCCAAAAAGACTCAGAATCAATAATTTCACATATAGCCTTATCTAAAGTTAATTCATTTCAAGTTCTGCGTTCATATTTTGTAACTAAAATCTTAAATTTTAATAAATATATTATTTGAAATTAAAATAAATACAAAAAGGAAAATATTATATACAGAAAGGTTCTTTTTATGGAATATACAGAACCCTACCAAAAATAGCAATTCATTCTATAAAAAAGGAAACTAAATTGTAGCTCAAAATTTTTGTAAAACCAATGTGACATTTATCACAGACGTGATGATTAAATTTGTGGGCTGGGGGTGGCAGGAATTACACAATGTTTACCAACTCTAAGAATTAATCCTTATTTGTCACATAGGTTCTGTATATTTCATAAAAAGAACCTTTCTGTATATTTCATAAAAAGAACCTTTCTGTATATAATATTACCCATAAAATAAATTCTAGTCGATCTTTTCCTTTTATAGCATAAATATGCATATATACGTTGTGGGACTTAGTAGAATCAGGATCACTTTTGATGCATATGCACATTTACGTTATGCAAATAGTTCATAAGTCCCAATGTGGGACTAAGCTACCTTTATGCAAATGGACAGATTATGCAAATATACGGTATGCGAATAGACAGGTGCGACCATCAGGAAATTAATTTAGCGTAAACTTGCATAAATCTTACGATGCCGACGTAATATTGTGTAAATCTTACAGTGCTGACGTAAGTTTTACACTTTTTTATTATTAAACTACAATTGACATGTGTAAAATTTTTTTATATTTTCCGGATAACTGTATTTGTAATTCTATTTTTGTATTTACTCTTAATATATCCAAAATTTGCATCACAGATGAATTTTGTATGCCACGGATCATAAAATTAATGTAAATAAATCATCAATTAAATTTTTAAAGATGAATACATGCTTCGTATATTAATATTGCACGGAAATCGTAAAATGTGTAACAAATTTAATTGTTTACACAAAAAATAATTTTTTATATATTAATATTACTCGAAACCAGGTTCTCCTAGAGTGCACCCCATATATCATTCAGTTCTCTGCAAAGAAAAACAAAGTTTTTAAACGAAAACGTAACAGTGTTTTTCGTGAAATATAGATTAATATTATTATAGTACGATGATATTTTTTGATGTCATAATATTATGGCTCAATCACTTACATATATATTCGTTCAGAGCATCAAAATTAGACATCCTATTATTTATTCATGATCAATGAAATAAAAATATACTATCTCATGGCCAGATGGTGCATTGATCGAGTATCTAATAAATTACAACAAAAAATATAAATAGACCCACTATCCCCCACTTGTGGACCAAAAAAACAGTGCATTGGTTTTGCTTTTTACGTTGCATTCGAATTCGAGAGTTGAGACACGTAGTGCCAAAATGACATTCTATGTATTATTTGGCTTTACATGTTACATTCTATCTATATATTTGTTCGAGGTATCAACATTCGCGTTGAGAAAAATTTATTAAAAAAAATTACACATACAAAGGAAAATTATCACAAATTTAATAATTTAACAAAAGATCCTTTACAAAGAAGAACCCTAATGTGAATCAAAGTTATTTATGAATTTCAATTGTTAAAAAAAAAAATCTTTTGTCCTGATCTTCTTTTCCTCGTGTTTATTTGTTGAACTGAAGTCAATATTTTCAAAAAAAAAAACTTTGATTTAATAAAATCGGCTTATTGAGGTAATTTGATAGGTAAATAATAAAACAACATCGGTTTATCGTGTATACACGGTTTATCAAAGCATTGTCTTAACGAGCCCTGACTGTACATTTTATTCGTTTTATTCGTTTAATTTCGTTTAATTCGTTTATTTTGTTTATATTTAATTCGTTTAATTCGTTCAATTCATTCAATTCGTTCAATTCGTTTAATTCGTTTAATTCGTTCAACTAGTTTAATTCGTTTTATTCACTTTTATTCGATTATTATTATTCATTTTATTCGAGTCATTTTTTACTCAAATTGTTTGTTTTATTTGAGTAAACCTTATTTGGATAGAAAGCTAACTACTGCTCAAGATTATGATATTATTTTAACACAAAAAGCTTTAACCAATAATTTAATTACAATATAAAAGAGTTATTGGTTTATTAAACTAAGCCAATAATTAACTAAAAAAAGAATTAATTTTAAAAGGATATCTAATAAATATTGGCACTTTCAACATTTAATAGTAGGCTTTTAGACTATATGATAAAAATAGTAAGAATATTATTAACTTATCAGTATGCTAATACCAAAATTATTTTTTAAAAGAATAATCAGATTATGATATTTGCTGAATACCCCATTACCCAATTTGGCATCATTTAACCAGTAAAAAAAAAAACCAATAGATTATATATAAGCAAGAAATATGGGACCCTAAATCAGCACAAAAGAATTTTAAATCATGCATAAACATAACAGCTTAATAGTTTGATTGACACAGTGGTGCAATCTTGCAATTTTTTTATTGTATATTTTAAATATAATTAATCATGTGTCTTTAACAAAATAAACATGACTTAGCTATTTAATCATTTCCTTGTATGTGAATGCCTCCATCCATCAAATATTCATGGTAGTCATGATTATTATTCAATACATTTGATATCATCATTTACATAACAAACAATTGCATCACCCAAGTAGTAATAATACCAAAGCCATGCAAAAATGAAACTTTTAATAATGCATGTCTACCCAGGTCTCTGGGATTCACAATGATAAATTATTAACAATTGTAGTTCCTTATGAATAATAAATCTGATATTGATCACAGGTGTCAGATTTAATTAAATTTCCTATCACAAACATTGGTTGAGTGCTTTCGCACACCTCATAACTATGGATTTTTTCCCACAGGTAAAGCCCCCAATGCTGGAAGGCTTTGGACAAAACTTCCCTTATCTCCCACTCAGGCCAGGTTTGGCTGTTGCCATATGGAGCATTGATTGCTGATGAGAGTTGACATTTGTGAGATGATCACTTTGTGTTATACTCCTCACTCACTAGAATAAAGTTGGTGTTAAGACTGGCTTGAAAATTCTGTAACTCGGAAGTTGCAACCTGGGTTGTTGTTTTTACCCTAGAGGCAGGATTGTTGCAGGAAATTTTTTGTCTAACATGTCGGCAGCCTTCTCTGGTCTGGGTGAGGTTAGCGAAAATATCTTGACAATGATGCAGTTTTGGTAAACTCCAGAGCCACGCCCTCCCCCTGAAAATTTAACAACATCAATGTATCATCCGGAGCACACCAGTCAGTTTAGCCTTATGTACACGAGGAAGATGTGAGAATGACTGTAAAGTGTTCAAGGTAGCATGCATGCTCAACACCTGCCAATGTCCAATACTCAAACGTCACATATTGAAATGTTTCTTTTCAACAGTGTGTTGCCTTGACATCTTGTAGTTAAATTATAGTAATATTAATATTATTAACGATTACAAAATGCGAAATACCAATTATTCGTTGTTGATAAAGATTTTATAGATTCCAATTAAAATATTTATAAAAATATCAATACAAATAAAAAATAGTACCTCTGGTTAGTTATTAACACTTCTTCAGAACCAAATAACAACACTTGTGTGTTTTGGCATCTAAATTGGTTTTCCAAGGAAAAAAAATCTATCGCGTCAACAAAAAAAAAATCTGTGCAACACCAAGTGCCAATAAATAAATTTCTTCAATATTAAAAATTTAATAAAAAAAAAAATGTCTGCTGCCGTAAGCAAGAAAAAAAGAAAATAAAAAGAAAATTCCTGGGAAGATGTCACCAGATAAGTGTTTATCGTAAGGATGGTGGTGGCTATCGCCACTCGTCGTCACTCTAGTTTAATTGTAATATTATATTATGCATTTTTGTATAAAAAGATAAGCTTTCCGTAATTAATAAAGAACTTGTATGACTTGTATTTTTTTAATAATTAAAACAATTATATAGTATTTTGACATAAGGAAAAAGGGTTTCCTTACAAGTTGGTAGCAGCGGAAATTATATATACACACATACACCCACCCACACATACTTTTACACACACATACTTTTACACACACATACTTTTACACACACATACTTTTACACACATATTTTTACACACATACCTCTAACAATTCTGTATGAGTAACTTTTATAATATATTAGGGAAAACAACACTGACAGTGACTCTGACAAAGAAAACTCTCAAGAAAACTCTACTATTTCTACATCACAACCAGGAAGAGAATTAGATGAATATGACATTTTATATCAACAAAGAAGAAGGGTCTAACAATCAACTACACAATTAACAACGCCAATCATAGGATCAAACAACAAATTTACTAACCAACCTATTACAAATAACCTAGAACAACAATGGATGCCACTCAATTCAACCAATTAATAGCAGCATTAGGATAACTCACTCAACAACTTGGTAATCAACAAGGCGGAAATGCACCACCTAGGATTGCAGTACAAATTCCAATTTTTAAAGGAGAAACCAAAGAGAATGCAGCTACATGGTTAATGCAAGCTGAAACAATTTTTGCTGCTCAAGGAATTAATGATGTTGCAATTTGTTGCTACTATGCTAGTACTGGAATGAAAGAAGCTGCATTACATTGGTACCTAGCTCGAATGACAGAACATGGAAATAATACTGGAGTACCATGGGGTGATTGGAATGCATTTAAAACTGCTGTGCGAGCTGCTTTCCAACCTCCAAATTATCAATCTTATTTACGTCAACAATTGAGACAATTGAAACAAACAGGGAGTGTCCGAGATTATACCACCCAGTTCCAAAATGTTGTTAGACAAAT